AAGTAAATGATAAAGCTTTCAAATGAATCCAATTTCATTCAACTATGTTGTGTAATTGTTGAGATATGTGATATTTTTGTGACTGCCATTTTTTTTGAAACACACTGTAATTACTATAAAATTATCTGATTTTGTTTATTTGTTATTTATTGTAAAGTATATGTGTTTAATATTGGAGTTTTGTTTAATACATCACAGATATTAGTCAATTTCTTTACATTAATAGAAGCTTTGTAATAAATTCACAATAAATAACAACAAATATTTGCATTATTTTGGTTAACATTTATTTTTTGAATTTACCAGGATAGATATGCCTGACTAACTCTTTTTGCTCTTCTGTTTGTTTAAAAGACATCAGATTTGTATGATGTATCAACAATTCCTGTAACCAGCTTATGGTATCTTGCTCAAGGTCTTTGAGACAATCAAATGTATCCTTTGTAAATCCAAATAGCAACACAGAATATTGATTATTACGTGAAGATCGAGTGGATGAATATGTACTATAATGTTTGATGATCTCTGATTTAGGTGCTCCAAGTTGGAAATAGAGAGATATATAAGGAGTGTATATATCACTAACATAATCAATGTCTTTTTCACTCTCCACAATCTCTGGCCACTTCATTTTTGTTGTTGCTGAAGCAGGCCATTCTGAATCCTTTTGTCTTTTCTGGTTTTTTATTTGAATGTTAATAACAGAAATGTTTTCTGGTTTAACTGAGTTTTTTAATATAACTGGTATAAAGACTAGTGCTGTAAATTATGATGATGGTAGTAATTGTATTTACGGCATATAAAAAGTGGTTGCAATTACTTTTGCAACCATACTTTTACCTTTTTTGGATTATGGCACTAGTCTTTAAACTGGTATCATCAAATCCCATCCATATTGACCTGGCATTCCAACAATAGCAGCACAACGTCTGAACATTTTGAGCAATACTGTTTTGTCTGGTGTGTATTCCAGCCCATAAAAATGATTAAAGAATAGTATACCAGATGCCAAATTCTCATCTAGGTCAGAAAATGCCATTTGATAATTTTTTTCTCCAAGTAATGAGAGCAAAAAATCTTTAACAGTTATTGGAATTGCATACTTTGTCATTGGTTCTATCTGTAAATTGCAACATTTGTCCCATGCCCTAAGCAGCAAAAGTTTTGCAACAAGCTCTCCACAAAAACCAGCATCAACTATTCCATCTTCAACAGAATTACATAAAGTCTTAAGCAAACGGCTGTAATTTTTTATATCTGACATTAGTATTGCTGAAGCTTCTGCAAGAATTGGTTCTGATGAATACCCAATATACAATCTCTGTCTATCAGGAGAAACATATGAACAAAGAGCCATATGTCCTGCCACCAACTCAGATGCAATCTTAGATTGTGGTGAAATTGATAAAGATAACCGTGAAGAAAGCACTGCCAAATCAGCTGTAGGATATATTCTGTTTTGCCAAGTTTCAATTTTATTCCCACCAAGCAATTTTTGCTGTGCAATCATAATTAAATCTTTGACATCCATTTTACTTTTTAAATATGCTCCCCATAATGGTCTTCCAAAAAAGAAAAGTTTTGTATAATTAGTTTTTCATCAATTTCTTCATTAGTATGTTGATTAAAAACATCAATGAAGTCAAACAAGTAAAATGGATCAAATAGCTTCAAATCTTCATGACGAACACATTGAGAATGATCATCTACAATGGCAGGAGAAAAGTTTGAAAGTTCTGATAATGTATCTGTGAATACAACAAATATCCCATTTGGTAAACATCGTAAACTCTTCTTAAAAGTAAAAAGGGCATGTCTTGTCCAGATTTAACAAGTAAAGAGCGTGCTTCATCAAAAGAAAATACAAGTTTAAGCTTAATATTTGGCTGAAATGATAAATTTGAATTATGCAAAACTTTATTCCAATAATATGCAAATTTATGTATGGCATTTGATTCAAGTTCTAACCAGCCAGAAGCTTCTGGTTTAAATTCCAGTACATTGTTAATATCTTTCCAGTTTTTAATTGTGTTCCAAAATTCATCTTTGCTGCAATGCAATAACCAATCTTTGCAAGTACCATTAAACTTGGAAAGTTCATCTAAACACGCACAAAAAAAGTCAATAAATTTATCAATATCACAGCTCTGTAACAAACTTAAAACAAATAGTGTTGTTAGTGGGTATCCTGTTCCTCCTTGATGAAGTCATGTGTATATCATGTATAATCTTTCACCAGTGTGAAGTAGTAAACGTGACTTTCCACTTCCACTTGATTGAAAAAGACCAATATATGGTGCATAATAAGTATTATGTATCAGGGCTGGCAAATTGACTGGTCCATTGAAAACAGATGGATTTGGACTGGTCCATTGTCATTAGTAAAATACTAAATATGGTTAAAGTGTTACACTAATGGACCCAAATGGACCACCAATAGACCATCAATGGACTACACATTTGCCAACCCTGTTATGTATTGCATCCCATTTCTTTGTTTCTTTCTCTAAATGTTCTAATAAAAGGTCTTCTGCTCCTTTGTTCTGATATTCAATATTAAAGGCCCTTTCAGCAGCTTCTATAAACCATGTGATAATATACATTGAAAATCAAAAAGAATAGAAAAATGACAAAAATATATCAGAAAATTTAAATCATCATTTTTTATTACCAGTAACTATTTTACATCATTTCACTTCATGATCATCATCTTCTATTAAATCTAAAATTTAATTCCAATGATTAACAAGTAGATACTCTTTTAAAATCAGAAAATGCTAAATAACAGAATTGTAAAAGATGGATGGTATCACTTACCATGTTTGCCTATACCTAAAAAGTCATCAATAATATAGAAGTATTAAAGAACTTGTTAGTTAAAGACAGTATACTAAACGTTCTCTCAAATGAATAAATAAATAAATGAAATGGAATGAATGAAAAATAATTTTTTGTATATTTCTTTATGCAATTTGTTCATTACCTTCTCCTTTGCCAAATTCTATGCAATTTTGCCACCTGGTTTTCCAACCTATCCCACCTCTCTCCCAACATCTTCTCTTCTCCCAACATCTTTATTCTATCTTCGCACTTTTTCTTCTGTTCCTCATTTCTGAATTCTCCCTTATACAACTCTTCCTCCAACTCATTTAACCCCAACCCCTTATACTTCCCCTTCTCCCATTCCTCTAACTTCTCCTCTGCCCTATCAAGTCTATTCTTTGCATTTTTAATTCTAGTTCTATTTTTCAATTAATTAAAAAAAAATTTTTTTTTAGATTTAGATTATTACAATTAACTGTTTTTATGCATAATTTAGACAAATGATAAATTAGTGGGCACATGACTTGGAATTAATAAAAATTTTTTTTTACGGGCAATGGATTAAACAAATAATCATGTATTTTTCCACAAATCGCCAAATCAATTTCTAAATAAGGATAATACACACCCAACCCACCAATAAAATTGGATAATTTCATGATGCTGCACAAATTTGCGGATGTTTTTTGCGGAAAAATACATGATTTTTAAACAATAAATACTTACTTATTTCTTCTTTCTCTTTTCTTCTTTTCTTCAATAACATTTTGTAAGCAAAAAAAAAAAGAATATTAATATTAACGTAAGAAATCAACTAGAGTGACAATGAGTGATGACAGCCACATCCTTAAAACACTTACTCGTTTCTTTAATGAATTAGATACTTTATTAAATTTTTATGGAAAACAAAAGAAAGTTAATCAAGAAGTTTTTTTTCCTCCAGTAAATTACAATGAATGTTTTGGAGAGTGGTATAATTTTAAAATTATAGTTTTAAATAATTATG